ATAATGTCAATATCAACTACAAGAGTGACATGGTTGCTGAACTTGGACAATATGTTCATGCAATTGGGACGGATTCCAACAATTCGATGGAACCCCAAAGTATCAAAGCGATTTACATTGAACCTACAAAGGGACAATGTACTGGGCACCAAGTGCTCAACCTCAATACTAAGAAGATGATTTCCCGACCCAAGGTCATTGTACTACCCGTTACCGACCAAGTAATCAAGCGTGTTGAAGCTTGGGCTGCTGCTGAAGGTGTTGCTTCCATGGAGTTCTTTGATAAGAAGAGAGATTTGGAGACATTTCAAGATGGCGATCAAATTGCAGGAGTGGATGACACGGAACAAGGTTACTTAGAAGAAGCCTTTGATCAGGACTATGAACCTGAAGATGAAGACGAATGTGATTTCAACCTACATGGACAATTCGATGATATCGATGACTCCGAAAGAGAAGAGCTCTTGGCAGATGCAGACAATGATGTCAATGATATGCCAGAACTCACTGTCAGATTCCAAGGAGATGATGACTATGAATCAGTCGACGATTCGGGTGATGAAGGCGATGAAGAGGAAAAACCTATTGTGGCCGATTTGGATCACCATCAAGAAAATATTGATAGAGGAACCGATGATATTGGGAGCCTCGTTACTGATCTGGAGGTCCTACAAGAGCCACCAGAAGAAGAGATTGTATTTGAGCCTGAAACGCCTCAGGTAGCAAAAGTCACTCAATCTGGGCAAGCATATGCGCAAGCTGCAATGTCTGGGCTGAACCTTTCTCAAGTTCCAAAGAAACCAAAAGAATGGCCTTCGAGCAGGAGTGGCAGTTCTACCAATAAGAACAAGAATCGAGTTGTGACAAGACGCAAGCATCAAGAGATAGATTTGAAACCGTTGAAGAACAAGTAAAAATCTGGTATTTGTACCAAAGAAGGAAGTCGCAGTACTAAAGACAGCAAAGCTATCCTTGAAGCAAAGCACAATCTATGTTTCCAACAGATTGGGAATGAGATGAAAGCTGATTACAAAGAGCACGACGCTATTCTGATTGCTTGTTGCATGATGCAGATCAAGGCCAAGTTCAATACTGACGAAGGTCTGAACTTCATTCAACAGTATTACATCAATCAAGGACTTAAGAAGTTTGGTGATGATGGAAAGGATGCTGTGGATAAAGAATTGAGACAAATGCTCTTGAGAGATTGTTTTACTCCCAAATTTGTTAAAGACATGACCGCGTCTGAGCGAAAGAAGTTTCAATCAGCGATGATGTTACTCGCGGAGAAGCAATTTGAAAAGACAATTAAAGGTCGCCTAGTATACCAAGGCAATGGAACTTGTGAATGGTTATTGCGAGAGGACACTGCAAGTCCAACTGCTTCACAAGAAGCAATCACCACTACTTGTGTCATTGATGCACACAAAGGTAGAGATATAATGACGCTTGTTAGAATAAAGCAAAATGTGCTCTATCGTGAGTGCCTTTAGCGCTCAGAACAAACTCTCTGCAATCTAAATTTGTAATCGACTGTACAACACTTTCACGACAATAGTTCTCCTGTGTCTAGG